AACCATTAATATCAATACCATTAGATCAAATAAATTGACACGCTTAAGAAATACAACGACTTCCGAAATGAATTCTCCAGATCACTATTTTCCAGTTACCACTGAGACATTGAAGGGGGAGGGGGGGCTATACCACCGAAATGAATGTCCAAAATTGGGGAAATCCGAATAAATACATGTAACCCATCACCTCATAAATCTGAACTAGAACTGATAGCAACTGACGAGGAAACAAACAAATCTTGTGTTCAGGATACAAGTGCAGGTGTAATTAAATTATTTATTTCAATTATCCTAAACCTGTCATGGTGCTTCTTTAGCAAATGTCCTTATTATATTTTAAGTAGTTTGCTCCAGAATTGTGTTATATCTATCTATCTATCTATCTATCTATCTATCTATCTATCTATCTATCTATCTATCTATCACGTTTATTATCTATCTATCTGTCTGTCTATCACGTTTATTATCTATCTATGTATCACGTTTATTATCTATCTATCTATCACGTTTATTATCTATCTATCTATCACGTATATTATCTATCAATCAATCACGTTTTTTATCTATCTATCAATCTATCTATCAAGTTTATTATCTATCTATCAATCATGTTTATTATCTATCATGTTTATTATCTATCTATCTATCTATCTATCAGGTTTATTATTTATCTAACAATCATGTTTATTATCTATCTATCTATCTATCTATCTATCTATCTATCTATCTATCTATCTGTCTATCTATCATGTTTATTATCTATCTATCTAACATGTTTATTATCTATCTAACATGCTTATTATCTATCTATCATGCTTATTATCTATCTATCATGCTTATTATCTATCTATCTATCTATCTATCTATCTATCTATCTATCTATCTATCATGTTTATTATCTATCTATCAATCATGTTTATTATCTATCTATCATGCTTATTATCTATCTATCATGCTTATTATCTATCTATCATGTTTATTATCTATCTATCTATCTACCTATCTATCTATCATGCTTATTATCTATCTATCTATCTATCTATCTATCTATCTATCTATCTATCATGCTTATTATCTATCTATTCATCTATGAATCATGTTTTATTATCAATGATTTGGTTTCTTTCCATCTCCCTCCATTTCCAAGTTTCTTTTTTCCTCTCACTTTTCACCTCTCTTTTTCACCTCTCTTTTTTCTTTTTCACCTCTCACTTTCACCTCTCTCTTTTCACCTCTCTCTTTTCACCTCTCTCTTTTCACCTCTCTCTTTTCACCTCTCTCTTTCCACCTCTCTCTTTTCACCTCTCACTTTCCACCTCTCTCTTTCCACCTCTCTCTTTTCACCTCTCACTTTCCACCTCTCTCTTTTCACCTCTCACTTTCCACCTCTCTCTTTTCACCTCTCACTTTTCACCTCTCACTTTCCACCTCTCTCTTTTCACCTCTCACTTTCCACCTCTCTCTTTCCACCTCTCACTTTCCACCTCTCACTTTTCACCTCTCACTTTCCACCTCTCACTTTCCACCTCTCACTTTCCACCTCTCTCTTTTCACCTCTCACTTTCCACCTCTCTCTTTTCACCTCTCACTTTCCACCTCTTTTCTTTCCACCTCTCTCTTTTCACCTCTCACTTTCACCTCTCTCTTTTCACCTCTCTTTTCCACCTCTCTCTTTTCACCTCTCACTTTTTCACCTCTCACTTTCCACCTCTCTTTCCACCTCTCTCTTTTCCCCTCTCTTTCCACCTCTCTCTTTCCACCTCTCTCTTTTCCCTCTCATTTCCACCTCTCTCTTTCCCCTCTCACTTTTCCCTCTCTTCTCCTCTCACTTTCCACTCTCTTTTCCCCTCTCACTTTTCCACCTCTCTCTTTCCCTCTCTCTTTCCTCTCACTTTCCACCTCTCTCTTTTTTCACCTCTCAATTTCCCCTCTCTCTTTCTCTCTCTTTCCACCTCTCTCTTTTTCACTCTCCCTTTCCACCTCTCTCTTTCACCTCTCACTTTCCACCTCTCTCTTTTCCACCTCTCTTTTCACCTCTCATTTCCACCTCTCTCTTTTCACCTCTCTTTTTTTTACCTCTCTCTTTCCACCTCTCACTTTTTTCCTCTCTCTTTCCACCTCTCTTTTCCTTTCTCTTTCCACCTCTCTCTTTTCACCTCTCTTTCCACCTCTCTCTTTCCACCTCTCTTTCCACCTTTTTCACCTCTCTCTTTTCACCTCTCATTTTCCACCTCTCTCTTTTCCACCTCTCTCTTTCCACCTCTCTTTCCACCTCTCTTTCCCCCTCTCTCTTTCCTCTCACTTTCCACCTCTCTCTTTCACCTCTCTCTTTTTCGCCTCTCCTTTCCACCTCTTTTTCCACCTCTCTCTTTCCACCTCTCTTTTTCCCTCTCAAATTTCACCTCTTCCACCTCTCCTCTTTCCCTTCTCAGATTCCCACCTCTCTTTTTCACCTCTCACTTTCCCTCTCTTTTTTTCCTCTCACTTTCCACCTCTCTTTTCACCTCTCTCTTTTCACCTCTCTCTTTTCACCTCTCACTTTTCACCTCTCACTTTCCACCTCTTTCTTTTCACCTCTCGCTTTCCACCTCTCTGTGATTGCGTGCGGGCTTATTTATATTTCAGCTTTCTTGAAACAAACCACATTTTAAATATTTAAAAATTTTTTTTTCCATATTTAAAAAATATTTTCAAGTGAATATGAACTAAAAATATTTTTTTAGCATATTAAAAAATATTTTTAAGTTAATCTGATTTTAAATATATTTTAAGTGAATAAGATTAAAAATACGATTTGTTTATACAGTGTTTTTATTTGAACTTTCTTCAAACAGACATTTTTTTGTAATGTTGAAATCAACTTCAATGTTTTAAAACCTGAACCGTCAGTAACCCAACGGATCACGGTTATTCTAGTACGTAGATAAAAATTCGAATCGGCCCGTTTATTTGAACCAAACATCAGTCTTATTTTATAAGCATAGAGGTTCTACTATATCTGTTCTAGGCAGTACTTGTATTGTGTAGAAAAGATTAACAATAAAATAATAACAGTATACAAGCCTCAGTTAAAATTGACATATATAAATAGATATTTTACTTTCAAATGTGATTTGAGTTCAAATATTAATATTCATTATGAGCTAAAGAGAAAAAGGAATACAATTTTGAATAATGAAAGTTATGGCTACATCTGTCCTCTAGAGATCCATCAATAAATTGAAAATAGAATCTGCAATATTATCACGCTTGACCTGTCATTACGGTTTCATTTTCCCACCGTCATAACGCAGGTTCACTCTATCTTTTCTTTAAATACTTTATGGTAATTCTTTTGATAAGCTTTCCTCTTTTGTACCTCGTCCTAAAGAATTTACGAGCAGTATTAGACTAGCGGCTAGGTTTCACCAATTGACTATTGAAATTACTAAATATAACTATAACTTTTCACCTCTTAGATTATTGTTCTCCCCAATTACGATCTTGTCTAAAGTCAAATTCTTGTCGTTCTTGTTGTCTTGATTCCTGCTAAAATATAACAATGTGCAGCTGCAAAACAAAATAAAAAAAAAGATATTGTCCATGTTCATTGTTTTCAATTTTTCATATATTATTTTCGGCGAAAGAATAGTTTTGATCATTTTTCTTAAACAGATTCATTTTAGAAAAACAAATGCGTTGCGAGTTAATCAAACTCCTATAAAGACTTTTAATGGCTCTATCTAGTCTGACATTTCAATCTGCTGTTATTCATGTTAAACAATTGGCTGTATCGTTAATAGTATTACTCATCCCAGCACAGCAACAGGTTAACAATAATGTCTAATATCTTCTCATTTCCAATGATGCAACTGACAAAAAGTAGCAATTACGACTACAGTTCAACTTACGCCTGATGGAAAATAAGAGTGAAGCTATCTTTAATACGTACGTAAATTCCTTCTGCTATTGCAAATTGTGAAGCGTAAATCTCCTTGTTAAAAAGGTGTGGCCCACACATCTTTAATATGTGATCTTTACTTGCAGATTATACAGCCATCAACCGATTATCCTTTCGACAATCCTATTATCATTATCACAGGTTTAAATGGGCCCGAATCAGATATCGTCATTCATGAATAACGATAAAATGTCAGCTCGAATTAGTTACACTTTAAGGAAATTTTGTTCTATGTAGTCGCCTGAAAACGATGCAAATTATTATATTTGATTGACTTCGAAGATTTGCCATCTTACTGCTATCAATGCCGAAGTCTTTTCAAGAAAAAGGTCATTTGTCACATAATTCTAAACTCATTCAGAGTGGATACTTCGGTTTACAACTGATTAGGCGACGGTCGTACACACAAATGATCTTCTTTTGTGTGAAATATAACTCTGAAGTTCAAAAACTTACCTATTTAAAGTTTTAACTGCCATTTTCAGATTATTTCATTATACATTATCTCCATTATCGAACTAAAAGTTTTAATGTGTCGTCTTAGAAATAAAGACTGTGCAGTTTCGAAAATATTCTGACCTTGTGTTCTGGCCATAACAGTTTAGTCCTCATTAATGAATATGGATTTGTGTGTAGCGTAAAAGCGGCTTGGAAATAAAAATCGGCGAGCTAAGTTCAAATTCCAGTCGAGTTTGTTACTTTTAATTCCATACAAATAGCTTTAAGAATAAATAATATGAATCTATCGCTTCCCACCGCCACTGCCCAAATATAAGAAATCAATGTCTTCTTCACTCAGATACAATTAAATGCAGACTGATTTCATTGATAACTAGTCTAGAGATGTGGTGATGATAAAATTTAAAAAATGCTATTTTTCGGTTGAGCAACAGTGGGTGTTTTATATTGGCCAGTAAAAACGCACGATGACAGAAAACGTTAAGTCATTGGAAATGTGTAATCTGTCACAGGCAGAGATAGAGCTTACTTTAGAGAAATAATAACTTTTTGCATATCAGAATGCAGCACTTGAGATCGGCTTACCTGATTATACAGGCTTGCGGCCATATCGCGTTGAAAATCCATTCCCATACGATCACAGAAGTTAAGCAATGTCGAACTTGGTCAGTACCAAGGTGGGTGGTCGGTTGGGAATAACAAGCGCAGTAAGCATGGTTTCTGCGACGGGTGTAATGAATAACGACTGGGAGATTGGAAATCGGAGAACTAGTCGGGTGTCGTTATATTTACTTACGCGCCAATATAGTATGAATCCATCTTTTCTTCTCCCAAGCTATGGGTTAATTAGTACAACTATCTTAAAGAACCTTACTTAGATTCTAAAAAATATTTTCTTGCTTTAAATAACTTGCAAAAGGTTAATAAGCAGTAAAAGGCAAATCAAATCTGTCCCTTTTAGAAATAAAACCTGACAGTATTTGCAATATTTGAAACGTAAAAAATGTTAACCCTTAAATATTTCGTAAAGATTTGAAAGCTTTACAAAACATTTTAGAATTTAAGATTTTAAAGCTTCTATATTTTAAATATTTTAAAGTGTAAACATTTTGAAGCTTAAACATTTTTAAAGCTTAACATTTTAATGTTTGAATAAAATAGACAATCGGAAAATAGTACTTAGTCTTTGACGAGGCGTTTCGTAATTCGATTTTCTCTAGGCAAGTGATGATAAAAAAAGGCGAAATGTTGTTTAGTTAAATAAAATTAAAAAATTAAAAAAAAAACGTTCCTGTGTAAGCCTCTTTTCACATAGTAGTATTTTTTCCTTTTCTTCCTTGTAACTAAGGATTATAATCTTTCTAAATTTAAACATTTTAAAGCTTAAACATTTTACCTGGCAATATATATAGTATTTGAAGCTTAAATTTATTTACAGTATTATGACAGCATTGAGAGTATGTACCAAAACTATTTACAATATTTTCTGGTTTTAAATAATCTTCAAATGGTTGATAAGCGGTAAAAAGTAAATGTTAGAAATGATGGTATGATATATAATCTAAATCTATGAAACAGAAGAGATCTGTGTGTGTATCTGTGTGTGTCTGTCTCTGTATATGCTATTTATGCACGTCGACATTTTTCAACCGATTTCGATGAATTGGCAAACACATATTGAAAATTTACAAAGAACAACTTTTCAATCTTCATAGCCCCAGGGTTTGACAGAAAAATCGAAAAATGACGGTCGGTACGACTTTTTGCGAAAACCATGGTAAAGTTATACGCGAACAAAATTTTTACCAGGTGAACAAAATTTACACCAGATTCTTTGCACTTAAGGCGAAACATAGCTCATGTTACGATGTTTATAGAAAGGGCTTGATAGTTTTCCGGCGATATTGGCTTCACACAATAATTGCAAAAACCTGGGAAAATTTGGTTTTTTCGTACTACTTAAAATAAAAATTTGATTAACTTCTTCATTTTTTACCAATTTTCTTCAAGCATGTCGCAAGATTTGTAATTGTGCAAGAAATAACGAAAAGCCACGAGAAACTGTTCAAAAATCCCGTTTTTCGGCCATAACTCCCTGGTTTTTCATCCGATGCTTTCCAAGTTTGCCATGTAAATTACATGACACACAAATTGTCTTGCGTTAATATTTGGCTTAGAATTTATGCGGCAAAATAGGTCTAAAATCGGTTTTGCCATTTATCCAATAGTTTCTTCATATGATTCCATCCTAAATTGGCATTCGAAGAACACTTTGATGCAAAGATTGTTTGAGAAGTATTACTGAAGCGTTTAAAATGAAACGTGCGAAATAGGAGGGACGTGCATGCAATTTCACTTGAAGTTTAATCAAGCGCTAATGCTTCATCCCTGTTTTTGTTTCCTTATTAGATTTGTGAAAAATATCATATTATTTTATCGTTATTACAGCCATAGGAAATTTATTGAATATCTAAAGCATTGAAACATTTTAATCCCGAGCAAATACCACTCAAGAACATTTTTATCGATGGAATTCCGTTATTAAGAACAATCAAACACTTGTGAAGGACATATCGTAAAAAAAAAGATGAGTTGGGTGAGTAGCCTAGTATACCAACGGATGATGCATGCAAGCGGAGACGCAGGCATACATTTCTGAACAAGTGCGCAAGTATACAGGTGTGTTTGGTTATACAACAGCAGCCGTGTACACGTGAACAACGACGGTAACTCGGCTAATAATATATATATATATATATATATATATATATATATATATATATATATATATATATATATGTAATTTATGCAATCATGGAATAATTATGCATATCATTATATAATTAACCATACTGTCACAGATGATGTGAACAACATACAGACATGCATATACGAAACGAGATATTAGATTTAGGCGAAATGCTAATGATAATGTTAGCACTTTCCCTGCAAGGAAATATTTGGCATGAATTGAACGAGCAACCTGCCGTTGATTGAAATTTATGAAATATTTCTCTTAAAACAATTTTTCAGGTGAAAATATTTTTCTCAAGTTCAGTAGCTGTTATCGTTCTTTCTACTATTGGTGAATAGGTAATTCCTACCCTTTTATTTGAAGTTGTGTCGAATGTCAACATTTTGATTATGTTAATATTTTATGTTACATATGTTATTCATTTTAGTTGTTGTCTATGTGGTTTCTGTTATTTGTTACTGATCTTTGCTTGTATTTATGTAGCGCCAGTGCACAAAGTTCAAAGAAGGCTGGTCTTTACCATGACACTCAGGCTTATTTGTTCGAAATCATTTTTAACTATTGATCGTAGAAAGATGTTGTATACAGTTGAAAGTTTAAATATTTCTGAACCGTTTTGGCGCAATACACGACATTAATATGAATGTCGCGATCTAACGAGGTTATTTAAACCATGACACGATGTTTTAGGTTGATGTTTTCGTTTTGTCACAATTTGTGTTGTTGGCCGAAACTACATTACTTTTCTTTACTAATCAGATCCATACGCCGATGTATTTTAAGTATTTTTAAGTATCTGAATTTTTTTATGATGGATTCATAGTATGTGCTATCACTGCTTTCATTCCAATTCCAAATCAGAGCCTTATTTTTCGGAACACTGCAGATTTTCTCTCCAAGATCATTCTTATCTCAACTATGAATAACTTTGTCACAGATGTACCCTGTTTTATGTGTGCGTATAAATACAGCAGCCGGCTGCATGAAATAATCATGAGTTAACTTGCTCCTGTTGAGGATCGTAAACAAACTTAGTCTGCATGTGTTTTTTATGTGTCAATATCGCTAAGCATTTTAGTAATATTATATAATCGACTAAATATGCGAAAAATGTGAGTAATTAACTGTGAGAATTTCAGGTTTGTACAACAAACCCCTAGTCAAAGGTTAACTGAGAAAACTAACTAGCCCAAGAAAAAATCAATAATTTATATAACGAAACATCGTCTCCAGAAAAACAAAATTTACATTTATTAATCTCAAGTTTATGGGTTAATAAATATTTACCCAATTTTTAAATATACATATTAAAATGGAAAAATATTGTTGTGATCTTTCAAAATTTCGTAGCAAACAACAAATTTTTATCGTTTGCAATTTCAAAGAATAACGCGCGTCTCCCATGACATCGTTGATTTGTTTAATATATGTGAATACAAAAATTTAAATATTTGGAGACGGTCCGAACACAAAAATAATTTAATTTCTGTGTGATCCGGTTTTATACAGAAAATGAGTTTTCAGCGACATTACTTAAATCTATAGCATTTTCCCACAATTCTGAAACAGGGTTCTACATATTACACACACACACACACACACACACACACACACACACACACACACACACACACACCATACACAAACACACAAACTGGTGGACAGCGCAGCGCTTCGTCGCCCCAATGACTCCTTCCGGTGTTAAGCGCGAAAAACCGATAATATATTTTAAAGTATTTTTTTTTCGCATAATACATTCATTAAATCCACTGAAGATCATGTTCATGCTGGCAACAATCCTTGTCAATGCTAATTTTATGATGTCAACGTAAACTCGTTGCCACTTTTGTGATGTCAAGGAAAACTCGTTGTCACTTCCGTAAAGCTCGTTGTAGTAACGACTTTGTAATGCAGATACAACTATAGTACGCCGTTGAACAATGCTGGTGTCAGACGCCTTCGAATAGCACCTGCACTAAAAGTACGTTCTCGATAATACTCGCTCGAATAGTAATCCGTATAGTGATCAGAATTGAGAAATAGTTTAAGGAATAGAGTAGAGAATAGCGGTCCGTATAGTAATAGAGGATATACCAGAAGCAGGGTTCAATCTAAACGTCACGCGATTTCCTATATAGGCGTTTCTTCTATGGTCACATAATCCATTTAATTCAATAATGAGATCGCCTGTGTTTGCTAATTGGCGATCTATGTTCAAACTCAATTGTTGGCAGAGACACTGTATTCTTATAAACAGTTTTTCATCATCTTTCGGCAGATAAATGCGCACTCGTGCACTGTAATAGTTTCCACAGTGTCACTGGTGTTGCTTGTCCTGCAAACTTCCTTGGTCCAATTCATACTGATTATTTATGTTGTTGGTGAAACAAACTTGATTTACAGAAAGTCTAATTCGTAAACTGCAGCAGGTAAAAGTGTAGCCATCAAATTCAAAAGGAAATCAATTGAGATTTCTTGAATATATGACAAATCAAGTTACGTGTTTTTGTCGGTATATAAATGACCAGCAACTTCTGATGACGTTGAGCATAATCTTTTTGCTGATGGGTATGTATGTATGCACGTGTCCGAATGGTTAGAAAGTTGTAATTTGCCAGGAATATAACATTGGCAAAACCGCGAATTCTGGGGGAAGATTTTGTTGACGAATATATTTGGAAGCCGTCGATATCAGCCTGAAATTATGTCATGGTGAGCGAGGGCTTGAGCATACTGATCTTTTTTAAAATCCCGCCATACCATTGCTCTCTCACTTAAACGCAAAAAAAATATCCTCTCAGTATAGTTACAGTATAAGCCACATGTTAGTTATGTTGTGTTATAGAATCATTAATGCCCCAGAGAAGGCGTCTGCAAAAGGGATTAGCTCGCCACACTAGACATACTTTCGTACTAGCAGTCATACATAAAGTGTGTGAGTAAACATAAAATATA